TGACTCTATGACTCTATGACTCTATGACTCTATGACTCTATGACTCTATGACTCTATGACTCTATGACTCTATGATTCTATGACTATGATTCTATGATTTTACAAAATTCAAAGTTTGCCAATGTAGCAAAACCATTTTTTTGTAAATCCTAAGGGTTAAAAGGGCCTGGTGGACTTTTCCAAGAGAAGGGAGATGGAACTGGGTATCGTAGAAGAGGGCATAGGGACCCAATGTGTAATTCTGAACAGGGCCGCAATGTTGCATTATAATGTCCCTTTTCTGCTACTCACCGAAGTGGTGGATTTTGAATGTCACCAAAGGCAGAAAAGTGATGATGTCCCTTATGATGATGATGGCATTTTTACTACTGCAAGGATAAAAACTGCTTTGGAAAGGTCCTTGTGGGATCTGAGTTTTTCATGCTTAAAACCGGGCTGACCTTGAGGATCGACCTTGCACCATTTGTTCTGATGCCCCAGGTTAGGAAGGGTGGTGTCTTGCCCCACCCACTTGTGATTTTTAGCTCTTCCCACCACCACCACTACCAAGAAGATCACCGCAGGAGGACCATAATCCTTGGAAAGAAGGGTAGTCTTGTCTCTCTTGGAACTGTAGGGGTCTACAAGAGGGGGGAACAAAGGCTGTCATGCACATTGTGACGTCATCTGATATCATCATGACAGGGACCACGTCTTTGTTCTCCAAAGCTAGGAGGCCCCCAACATGTATGAGAAACAGGGAAGCAAGCAAATTCTCCTCTTTATGCATGAATTTTAGAAGAGTTGGCTTATCTCGTGAAGCCGGGCCCATTTTTAATTTCAATCGAGATGGCTTTGTCATTTAAAAACCGAGAAGGGTACCGTTGAGCGATGACAAAAGTTTGCAGCCAGCAAGGGTGCCTCGTAACCCTCCCAAAACAACTCTCAGCGTTCAGACTCGGTTCCCCTTTATTTCAAATTCCCTCTCACCCTCCCCTTTCTGCTCCCCATATTTTTAATGTCTCCTGACAACCCCCCATTCTAAGAGCCCAGCAAATCCCATTTTCGAGGTCTGCACGCCGATGAAACTTAAACTTTTGGAAAGGTACGATCTGCAAGAGGAGGACATCCTGCGGTGCGTTCATTTAAATTCTCCTCTGAAACACGATCTAGCCATTTTCCCCCCCAGCTGCGTGGACATCTGGTTTCCATTTGTCCTCTAATGGCGGGAAAAAACGTTATTTTGGAATGGTTTTGAAATTTGGAATACTTTTATGACAGCTCTTTGATTTGTACCAGTTACCCTGGATTCCTTTGCTATATGTCAAGTCTGAGCAGCTATGATGTGGCAAAAAACAGAAGAAGGAGGGAAAGAAGGAAAAAATCTTGCCGGCTTGGAGAATTCTTTAATAAAAGCACCTTTGAGATTTTGTCCGGAAACGGCACCGTGGCTAGGCAGAGCGATGCAAAAGGAGACGACCCAAACATCTCACTTTAAAATAATCTTTGCTTGCAGTCTTTTCTTTCCTGCAGAGGTGTGCCTGGATATGAAAGTATGCCTCTCTCATTCCAACATTTGGAAGAGTTTACTTGGCCGTGATGCCCTTAAACTCCTGTGATTATTTTCTCCCTGAGCTGCTAACTTTCAAAAAGCAGGGAGGGCGTTATTTTTAAGAAGGAGAGCCAGCCAAATCTGTGCCTTTCTCACTTGCCTACATTTTCTGGCACTAGGATGTGGACCCCTCCACCCCCAAAATGCAGGTGATCTTCCCGAAAATCTGGGGTCTCTGAAGCCCTTCCAACATTTTGATTTTTTTTTTTAATCTGCCAGAAAGGAAAAAATATATATTCCATACATGGGGGATGGTGATGTTGCATTCAGATAAATTGGAATCAGATCTAGGTTTTGTCATGATCCTTGTTTCTTCATCTCTCATGTTTTGGAGGGTAATCTTCCCCCAATTTTCCTTGGCCTCCCCTGGCCATTTTTTGGACAGTAGCCTCTCTTGATCCTTTCCCCCCTCCCAATTTTATACACCCAGATCAAGTCCCCACTTGGTTAAGATGGGGTTGATCACAATCTCTCATTCTATCCTGTTTCCTAAATTTAGGGAGGATTAAATGAGGAGTTCTGTGCATGACCCTGAACTCCTTGAAGGGCAGGTGAAATGTGAAGATAATAAATAAAATTAAGATGTCTGCAACAGAAAATATAGATTCAACCACTCAGCTCAGGTTTGATCTTATTGCTTCAGCTCCCTTCTGAATCCATTAAGAACTCTCCCTGCTCTCTAGTGAAAATCAATACTAAATTCTCCACCCATCAGCTGGGTTTGTACAACATGATCAACACTAAATCTGGGTTTCCAAAACACCGTTTCTAAGTTCACATCGCATGTCGAATGGATTCAATCAATTGTTCAGTCAACGTCATACATCGAATTGATTCAATCGATTGTAGCTTGTATTCAATCAACGTCATACATCAAATTGATTCAATCAATTGTAGCTTGTATTCAGTCAACGTCATACATCGAATTGATTCAATCGATTGTAGCTTGTATTCAATCA